AGTTAAATCATTTTGCCACTTTTTTCAAACATTTATCCAAGAAACCAATTTCACTTTCCCAGTATCAACTTATACTAATCCGAAACATTCGGTCAAACTTTTGTGAATTGTACGAAAACTCGCAGATCATCCGTCATGCGAATTCTACTGGAATGATTTTGACTCGATAAGTGGAAATCCACTGGTGACAGTTCTGGAGTATAGCGAAGTTGTTCGAGCCAATTTTGGCGCTATGATCCAGTTCAAGCTCATAACCCTAGTCAAAATATTTAGGTTGTATAGAAGGGAACGGCTCAGCGCATTCAAAGCAATATCCTTCGCTACGTTCGGATAGGCATGAGATTCGCAATTTTTTTCGCATAAGACCCTGCTGTTGTGTATATTACTTATATTTCATTAGGCTTCCTTGAATTAATGACTCGAAACATGATCAAGAAGACATAGCGCTATTAGTTTTTGTTTATATTTACTGGCTCAATCATCATCTACTAACCATGCCAACTATCATATGTGTCTGCAGACGTGCCCCCACAAATTTGGCTAATTGGATATTTGTTATGAGTGCTGATGCCGAGGCAACGTTCGTGCCATTTTGGGACAACACAGGCCTGATTCCGTGAATAATCTACATGACCTGCTCAGAAGTTACAGACGTCAGAGGCAGGCGAAATACGTGATGGATTGTAGGACATGCTGGTAGCAATAGGGTCATTAGTAAAAGCCAAAGAGGAATAGGAAATGGATTCAGAAGTGTGGAAACATGCTCGGAGAGGAGACATGGTTTTATAGAACCTCTTAGAGCAATGCAAACTGATGCTATTTTGTAAGGGGTTGTCCATCATCCAGAGCGGGCCCTTCAGGGTTTACGTTCTTGTTAGCGATTGCCATTTTCTGTAAAACAATCATCAGTGTACGTTAGTCTTTTCGGGGTCACCTCAGACGAAGCCTTGCCACCACTTCCTTGCTGTTCTTTTCCCTGCTTTTTTCCAAGGAATTTGTAGAAGAGGGTGGCCTCCTTCGAAACTGCCTTAATACAAACCCGTTGTTTGCGGACAATGAGAACATTCAAGAAGAGTTTTTAAAAGGGAAAAATCGTTTTTATGTTCAGAAGAATCCACAGAAATAACTGGACAGCACACGAAATGACATAGAGAAAAGGATCAGGCGCATCGGGAGCGGTTGCCTCCATGTCCCCGACTTCACCCCCCCCCCGTGTCCATTCGCAAGGCCTGTACCATTCTGATTCCAGCGGAGTACTGGCTAGTGTGACTCTTGTCTGTGATGAACACTTGCTACAGTAAAGCATATCAGTCCTTATCATTGTCCGACACATCCTTTCCTTCAGCAGTCTTCACCTTGTTGAATATTACTGTGGACCCCTTCCCTCTCAACCATGCCATTCATATCCAAGCTTTGCTGTGTAACAACCATAAGAAGCTACTTAAATGCTAGGATTCCTTCAGATTCCCTATCTTTCTTTCGTTTCGTGTGCTGTCCACTTCGTTCTGTGGATGCTTCTGAACTTTGAGACAGTTAGTTCTCAATTAAAAACTCTTTCTAAGTATTTCTGGAAAAACTGCCAACTTTTACCTCCTCGTCGGTATTCGAGGCGGATTTTGAAGAAATGGAATGTGTAAACTGCATGTTTTCAGCGACTAGGCAAAATAGACTAATCTTCTAACCATCGCTTGAATTTTGATAAGCCTTCGTACAGTACGAACTTATACCGGTGGATTACTTTCTGAATCAGATTTTTTTTCTCAAGTATTTTGCTCAGTATTTACCATTGTACCTGATTTTTGTTGTTTATGAGCTACAGTATCCCTTCTGCAGTGTTGTCGTTTATCCTGTGGTAATGATGAGATGTTGTTAAGTTGTGGTCTGTACAATAACTGACATCGAGATGAGTAAGTAGGCAGTGAAGCAGCAGATATGTTGGCCCTGTGCGGTTGGCCTTTTACAATGTGATGATGAGGTGTGGATGGTGAGGCCGAGTATAGCACTTCACTCATCTCAGTCATATAATGAGTAACAGACGTTCACCAAAAGGCGTTAACACCTAGTTGTTTTTGGCCGTCACCTATAAGATGTCTCCACATCACTGGACATAGCCTTTCTTAGGTCTGATTCCCTTGTTGGCAAACATTTTCTTCTCAAACGGGCATATTAGGGAAGCTGTTCTTTACTCAATTCCCTTCTTCTTTTACCTAGCGTTAGTCCCGCGCTAGCGCAGAGTCCACTTCTTCACTTTCTTCTTTAATACTTTTGAGACTTTATTGCTTCCTACAACAAATATACCTGAATGAGGACGCTTTTGGAACCTCATTTTTTCCTTAACTCGATGCTATCCCGACCACTACAGCTATCCTTCAGATGATTTTTCCTTCTCAATACCCGTAAAATGTTTTTTGGATCTGTTGACCCTCATTCTGTCGGGTGTTTTTACAGCCGAGATGATTTGTTATGTGAGTAGTAATCCATGCAACAAGTTCGCGTACCATGAGCCTACAGTATAGCTTTACTTGTTTGTAGTTGGTTAGGCTTGATCACTTGAACCTGTTTCAGCCCCCCTGAAGTTCTTACCAAAGCTTTTCTAAAAATAGCGAATTAGTCGAAACGTCGGCTTAATAAGAGCTTTTGTAAAAAAAAAACTGTACGGCACAGAAGAATTCAAATGATATCTTATCAAAGCGTTTAGTCCTAAGAAACACCTAAGTTTAAGCTCATTATGCGTACTCGAGAAAAATAAGTTCTTCCTTCAGATTTTTGAAATCCTAACTTGGGTCGATCCAACAATTGATCAATTTTGTCACTGCTAAGCTCTATTGTGGATTTTACGTTGTTCTTCCATCGACCCGACTTCCATCAATGATTTGTATTTCAACAAGTCAGAATTACAGGTACTATGTGTGATTGGCGAAATAGTGAAGACCTTAAAAACTGCCTTATGCAACTGCATCGTCGATTAACAGCTGCGTGCAGTCGTATAGTATATTTTTGCAATGACAAAAAAACACTGAAGGCAAAGCGTTTCACAATGTCAAATGTGCACCTGCAATTGAGCAAAAGCCACCATCTGTTACTCCTCCGTTGTGAAATGTTTTGCATGAAATGTAATGGGAGTGAACCATGAAGTTCTTGTACGGGATTGAATCCGCATTCTATGTCTGGTCGAAGTTTGCAACAACGCTCCGAGCTCTAGATTATGAAGCCCATCGTCATGGCGTTTTTCAGACCTTTACACACCCCTTACCCTCATACCTCACATTCCACCTTACAATACATTCAACTTCAGGGCTTAAGCCTTTTCCCTGATATAAAATTTTGAGCACCACCAAAACAATGGTGAAGTGATCGAGGTGCACATCTAGCAACTCTCTGATTGGATCGGCTTGGGTTTCTTCAACTCTAGCATGACCACGTTTGAAAACGGCTTGGGTTAAGTTGTGCAGGAAATTTTGACACCCCTCGAGAAGACATTGGTAACATTGGTGACCTCCAAGCCTTTTCATTCTTGGAAAAAGGGTTTCGATGGCCCGATCGGTGGAGAAGGTTACCAACATTAAAGCCGATAAATAGCTATCTAAACTTATCCCTGTTGATGTCGAAATAACATACAAATAAAACAATAAGACAGTGTTGGCATTCGTGAGAACTCCAACCCTTTTGATTTTTCGGGAAATGGGGTTTTTATGACCCGATTGATGGAGAGGGTTACCAGCATGAAAACCGATAAATCGCTATCTGAACTTATTCTTTATCGATGTTTAAATTATTCACAAATGAAACTAGATAGCCTCAAAACTTCTTTAACCCCCTAACACAAACCAATTCCCACTTATATTGCATTCAAATGCACGACGTATCTGTGGATCAAAATCATAGTTATGCTAATAGCGATTCGATAATTGGTGATAGAGTTCACTAGGAATTATCTGCGAGTGTTTATTCCATTAACTTATGTTGACAATTATAAGCTGAAGAGATTAAGTGAAGTATAGCCAAAATGAGCGTAATGAGTACTAATATGATCCGTCAGTGAATGCCACACGGATTTCCTGTGGTGACAGTAAGAGAGTAGATTAATGTTTATAGTTGTATAATTAGTGGCAAGTCCGTGAAAATCCCCCTCTATCTTCCGGTTATTACGCGTATGTCTCTGTGTATGTGACGTTGATGAGTCGTTAGCCTGTCATTATTCGTCTGCTTGCGGAGTTAGCTTGTCGTCGTCTCCAGTGTGCCTGTTCGTTGTCAATCACGCTATCAATATTTAAACTACAATTCGTCAACAGCTTTCGGACAGAAAAAGGAGCACGCCCTTCATCGATGTGCACTTCTTCTTCTTCAGCAAGTATCCACCACCAATGTGAGCGCCTCGCTAATAGGGTTCCAGGCAAATTTGGGACCCGGTCCTGAGATGGTTCCTACCTTTGAGCTTGCTTTACCTTGATAGCTGCTAGATAACTTTAGGAACAAAAACCTTGAACAAACAATTAGTTCAACGACGATTCATCCAAAATTTTAATATTGGGAAGTATGACGGGCGAACGTTTTTGTTATTGCATCTGAATGCTTCGTTCGGGTTTTTAAATGCCACATGAGAAAACATTGACACGGCTGGGGAAAACATGGCCAATCTTTCTTCAACTTATTTGGTTCTGCTGTTCATTGCAATCACCTCTCCACATCTTCCTCTTTCATCACTCTCAATCAGACAAGTAAAACCTTTTTCGCTCTTGGCTTGTGTTTGCTGTCAATTGCGGATCTAGTATTGAACATATCGCTCTTGCCGTAAACCTACGGTACTGCACCCCCGTTCGTGATCGTGCACGATTCGCTGACGTGGCTGGACACCGCCCCTCTGAGGCTTGTTTATTGGTCACCGCGATACGCCCATCGGTTTGTTGCCATTGAGGTGACTAGTGTGTGCCAACTATCGTCTCTGAACAATCACAACCGTTTCAGTGAGGCTCATCTTACAGATGGCTAAATTTTCTATTATGGATTTGTGCCCGGATCTTGTAGATGATTCTCCATCAACCCCGCTTGTGAGACAAGAAGGTGAGCCAGTGAATTTTAGCAAGTTCCGCTATGGTTGTGATTCTCATTGAAATAATCAGATCATTTGGATTTCTCAATCATATTTTGTAACGACCTCAGAGACGTGTGGGGTTGACAGCACTACTTTTTTGAAATTTTACAAATCTTTTTTCAAAAGCTGAGAGAAATCGGAATCTCCCTACCTTCCGTTTTAGATCTCAACTCAATCGCATTTTATAGTACTTTACTTCGATGAATTAATATGATCAAGTTATTGTAGTAGCCCACCTAGGTGTACACCAAATAACTAAATAAAAAATTAAATATAAAAGCTAACCAATTCGGACGCAAAGGTGACTTGCGAATCCAAAGTCGAATGGGCTAATGGGACGTACTACTTCATTCAATAACACCAAAAGACATCATTTCACATGAATTTTGACTTGTTTTTGTTGGTAACTGCTGTTTTTGGTTACCGGTAAGCATGAGGCCCGGGTTGGAGTGCTGCCTGGGGCGAAAATTTTGTTCACAACCCGGCATTCTTGTGATATCATTTCACATATTTCAGCTATAAGCCCAGCTACATCCGAAACGGCTGTCAATAACGTCGATGATGATTATGGTGATGAAGGCATTGAAGAAGGTCCTTCGGAATGTGGTGACAGTAATAAGGTAGGGACAATTTGTTCTGTGGTACAAATGGTCCCGTATTATGCCCAAACCCAACTTTTTGAAACAGCAATATTTTAGAGCTCACCGAAATCGCCTGATGTAACTACCGATGAAGCTGGTAAGAAGTCGAACCCAAACGACAAGCCACCATTTTCGTACAATGCCCTGATCATGATGGCAATTAAGAGCAGCAGTGAAAAGCGGTATGGTTGAAGGTGTAGGAAAAATATAGAGGTAAAATATTTCATATCAATTTTAGGCTGACACTATCGGGAATTTACGACTACATTATGACTAACTATCCCTTTTATCGTGACAATAAACAAGGCTGGCAGAACTCGATTCGTCACAATCTGTCACTCAACAAATGCTTTGTGAAAGTGCCACGAAGCTTCGACGACCCAGGAAAAGGTATGAGAACTGATTTCAACTTTACAGTAGTTTACTCTGTCTTTGCTACGTCCAGGTGTACAATAAATCGATATTGAGTTCCAAGACCGAACTAGTTCTGCTCTTTCAGGAAACTACTGGATGTTGGATGCATCGTGCGAAGACGAGGTATTCATCGGTGGTGCCACTGGCAAACTTCGGCGTCGTCCATCTACAATGAGTCGAGCCAGAATTGACGCCTTCAAACAGTATGGCGCCGCGGCGGCAGCGCTATTTCCTCCCTACAGTCCACTTAACTTTGCGCGTCCTCCACCTCTTCAACATCCATTTTCACCACGTCCTATGATGCCATTGCCGACTTTCTACCCGCATGCCGACCTTATGCATCTCTATTTAACCCATCAACAGTCACAGGACATCTTGAAAAAGTTTTAAGTATCGTCTGGTCGACAACTATTTGACAAAATCACGGGTTTGCTTGCGTGTGTTTGCTTATTCATATGTTATGTTTGTGTTTAGGAATGTACGTATTTATAAGTTTAAATGTACGAAAGCATGTATTTATCCTTTCCATCGAGGTAGGCAGCTTTGAACACACCCGGTCTACCCACCGACAGAGCCTCATACTTAATGACCGATTCGATTTGATTAACCGCTTGTAGTTCGTCCTCCGATCATAGTGGGCGAAATAGAGTGGAGCAGGGGGGGGGGCATGGCGTCATGATACAGTAGTTCACTCCAGCAGTAGGAACCCCGTTTTTGCGAGGTTTGGAAGCTCCGGGGTAGATGAACCTGCTTGCTTGCCCAACGCTAACCGAGTAAAAAAGATAGCGTTCGATGGGTTGAATCCTCTCAGGCTCTGTGTCACAATGTCCTCCTCCGTTCCCCCCCCCCCCCCACTACACTTGCCTAAGTGAGTACGGGATCTGTCGAGAAGTAGACCAGCCCTGAAATTCATTGCTACCTTACGTCCGTCCGTTCTCCCCCTATCGAAGCCTTTGTGTGTTATATCGCTTGTGGTCATATTGAGCCAGCTATTGTTCATTTTATGCAACGTTCGATTTCACCGTTGATTGTTAATGAATTTAGTTTATATATAACAATAATTATCATTATTAAAGTGTTTGTTTTTCTAGAAAGTAATCAATTATCTGCTGATTGAGGCAGTAAATATAGCAAATAGTATTACTAGTAAATAAGTGAGTATACAAACTTACTTCACACCAATTTCACTACGAATTGAACTGACTGCTTCAGAGGGGCAGATTTTCCGAATTCTCCGCCTCTCTGGAAAGAATCCCGTTTATACCGAATTCTCAAGAGTTTAATGATATGTTCGATGAAGGGTTTGGGTATTTTCAGGATCTTTGAAAGGGTTTTAATATTGAAGACTTTTGTCAATGACGAATCGATCGTACTTTGTTGAGCACCTGGTTTTTCAAAACGTCGTTCGTTTTATGGTTTTCCTAGTTACTTCCCTACTTTTGTTAATTAGGAAGTGCTCAGGTCGTCGGGAGGGGGAGGGGGGGGAGAAATTGGCGGACGTTCCAGTGAGTGAGCCTCTTATAATACTTGGGACCTCAAGTAGGGGAAGGATTCTGAAAAGATGACACGATTTCTTTTCTCCCTGGCGTTTCTCCCTCTTCCTGGGCATGGCCCTAGTCCGTGGTTTTCAAATGCCCTATTTCAAATGTCGACGAGCGCCGTTTATTGGGGTTACTTCTCTGGTGTAGGCGCTACTTCTGAGCCTACCTACCACTAACACCACGCACTTGTTCACGTCCTACTATGCGAGCTTTTTGTAGCGGCTGTAGGTCACTTAAATATGTCAACTCTTCCATTTCCTACCTTTGAATTATTCGACGCCACGCAGATTCACACCTTCGGTAATGCACTTTTGAACATTTGGCCAGATTGAGGGTAACATTCCTTACAACAGGCCACACATCCAGTGTTATGAGCAAAAAAAAGGTGTGTTCTTGTAACCGGTGATTACTAGGCGGTACGCTTTTGTATGACATTGCGCTACACATACACTTGTTAACTGCCTGTTAAAGATGCGCCCCTAATCGGTGGCGTAATAGATTGAGGTTAAAGTGGAGAGAGATGACGGACGACAATTACGGTATCGAGTTCGCGTACACCTGTTTAATCGTTTGAAAGGGTGTGCCGACTGCGTCAGCAGTGGCGGTTATGGTAAGTGACGGTCACCTAATCCGATGTCCACTCACATACAGTGAACAGCAGAATTAGGATACCCGAACGTTATCCTGTTTAAACAAACCGTCCATGTTTCCATTGGTCACCACGCATTTATCCCTTTGATGTGCCACGTAGCGCACAATGAAGAGAATCGGTCTATTCGATTAATTAAGTGGTTTTCCAAGTTTCAAAGCGGCCAGTACTTTTCATGGACATCCAAAACATCACATATTTCAATGCTGATGAAGCTACCGACTTATTATCGATGAAATTATCGATTCACGACTACTTATGAAACACACGAGAGGAACTTAAGATAAAGACGGGTGTACGCAATGGTTAAACTACTCAGCGGTTTGAAGAACTAAAGTGGTCATATATTTGAACGAGTTTTCGAATAGGCTTTTTTACCAAATGCTCGGGTTCGTACATGACATTGATGGTCAATGTTATAGTATCGGAATGGCGATGAGGTCGACCTTCATTGCATTGATGATTCGAAGACTTGTTTCCGGTGTTTCTAGTGTGTAACTGAGTTTGTTCGAAGAAAGGAGATGATGGCGGCTTCGATAGACGATAGGCCAATCAGTTTTTGATTGGCAGCAGCCCAACAGGTGCTACCCTCTCGGCACGCCATAAACAATTTGTAAGGTGGATCGTCCATCTTATTGCGGGCAGTTTTATGATTTTTACACGACAATCAAAGCATGCACCACATCGAACACTTAGTATTACTTAGTTTTTCTTCAAAATTGTGTAAAGTCGGTTGAATCTGCTCTGCATGTCCTCAAAATTCGATAAAATTCTCATTTTCAGGGACCTTGAGTGTTACGGTCGATAGGCTAGGATAGAGGTGCTGTGTCTTCTGAATTTCCAACGTTGAAAAAGCATTTTTTTAAAAACAAAAATTGGGCAGCGATGAAGCCCCAACCTCCTTGGTTGTGAAATCAAGGTCAGAAGTGGACCAATGTCCATCTGTTTCCACTCTACTGTGTAAAGCGCCTCAAATGGAGCGATTTCAATCCTTCCGAGAGTGTGACCATGTGAGTATATTATTTACACATAGAGCGCTATGAATGTCATGCCTTAGGACGTTGTTTATGAAAAGTGTTTAGCATTGCTCGCATTCCACGATCCTTGTTATAAATTTATTGATCCACGGTGGGATTAATTTGACAACACTGAGGAATAACACGAGGGCGTCTTACGGTAAGTGGCGCGTTGGGATGAATTAATCGGGTGAAGAGTCCGACACGTGCAAATGTGTGCGTTACATAACGTTAAAGGAGCACCAAATCGAGTGATTCAAGTAATGTGTACTTCATGTGAGGAGGTCGATCCTCTTCAGTTGTAAAAAGGTAATCTCTTCCAGATTACACAACACAATAGTTATCCTGTCAGATGACTTGAAAACGGTAATGGTGATAAACTCTTCCCGAATTCCTTTGCACAAAATTGTGGCGCGGGTAATTATTGAGCACATCGCAGTTAAAAAGTCCAAGGGGCCCAAAAACCCATTGAATGTTGCCCAACCCTTGACAGTGTTGTGTTTAAACGGATAGGCTAGCTGTACTGCTTTACAAGTGCGAATGATGCTACACATTGGGCTAAATTCCCGTTTCTCATGTCAAAGGTCCTGACAATGGGGGGGGGGGTTGCGACCACGTAATGCCAATATTGCGAAACTCAGTTTTCTAATTCACTAACTTGCTCAAATTTGCGCGGAATCAATCCTATCTGAAGCCTTAATTACTTACATTTTTTTTACAAGTTTCCACGGGTTCAACTTCGCTGTTAATGGAAATTTTCGAGTGATTCCGGTGTTAAAACCGATAGTTCTAAACAGCGAAGTATCGCATTAATGGTGGCTAAAGGAATTCTTATGGAGAATTCTTCCAGGCAGATGTGGTCCCATGACCAATTCCTACTGCATGCTGCAGGGCTTATTGGTCTAGATTGAACCAGATCCTTTGCTCCTTACAATGAAAGGCTCTAGCCACTATTTTTACATATTTTGATGCTACGCTTATCAATACAGAGGTAGATCTTGATGGCCTGGATCACTTATGTTCAGTATTCATGCCTTTTCCCAGTCAACTTTTTGCGGCTCTAGAGGCGATGGTTTACGTGGAATGGGAAGCACAGTCAACGGATGTCATCTTTTTGCTTATGGATACATTTTGCGGAAACAAAACCTAATCCGCTTGAAATGTGTTATTGAATGAGGTGTGAGAAAGGTGAGTGATCGCTGATCCTCAGAAGCGTCACTTTCTTTCCCAGAGCGATCTTATGAATGCTCACGATTCACTCTCACCAGAATCCTCTCATAATAATCACCAATTAGTTGCGGCTAATCCTGTCTTAAGCATGTCAACTGCTAACCTCCTTAGCGCGTTCTTACGCGGATCGGATACAGATGCCCCATGGATGTGTCAGTGGTACGCTGGGTAAACATATCCCACCTCATTTACTACATATTAGGATTCGAATATAGGACTTACTTACGGAGAAAAATACTAAGCTCTCCTCAACATTTTGGCTCAAACGATAGTGCGGAGAATGTTCAGACGAGCCTAGACGCTCTAGAGGAAAAGCCGAAGCACTAAATAAAGGCACTGTGCATGATTCATTGGACCATATCTCCACAAGGAACTGGTATCTGTTTCAAGAGGGTATCAAAAAGACCGAGAAAAATAAGCGCCCATGATGGGAAAAAAGTTGAATGACTGTGTACAGTGTAAGTCGTCCGAATTTCTACGCTAAAACTGTCACTTGCCAACAGCTGTGACAGTTTTACTGTAGTAACTCAGACGAACACATATGGTGGTGTTGAACTCGTCAACATTGACACGTTGTGTCTTTCTAAAAATCTGCACGGAGCCGCAGCCAGCACGTCATCACCTCGTTCATTGGCACCTTCGGCTCCGCCTTTTCTACCAGCAAGTTCCCACGAAACAAGCTCTTCCAAGAACGGCTCCTCTTCAGAATGTCATCGCTTTTCTCGGAAGGAAGCGAGCGCATGTTCTTCTACGGCTACACAGTGCACACAAAAATACGAAGGGCGAGAAACCGTTTCTCCACGAAGCCATCAAGGACGGGGTTTGGTTTTCGAAATCTGCTATTTATTTGTTTTTGCCTCTGGCACTATCAGAGTTACCAGAATTTAAGATTGGTAAGGGTTGGTTAGATCATCTTCACACTCCAAAACTTTTTCATATTCGCTTCAACAAAGC